GTGCCTGCCACGCAGTGAGGAAGGTTCCAGCAGTTGTAGAAAGATTGTGCCACTTGTTTCCAACCCTCTGGAGTATCTGGGCACATGAGAACTTCGTCAGATTATTCATCGATTATTGCCTGGCACACTTGTGGGATAAACACGAAAATAGTGTTATGGGCAACTCGGAATCCATATTGTCATGTAGCTGTTGCCGGTGGCCAGAAACCTCAAGGTGACAGCCAGCTTTAAACCAGGTTCCAGACACTTCCTGTAGTCATTATCTCGTTTGGTAATCCTTGGTGCAATTCGTGTCAGAAGTTCATGGAAATCCCGTGGCCCCATCCGCATGAAATTGGTAAATGCAGAAACATCCTCAGCATGCAGTTCTTTCATCAGCTGTTCATATTGCCCCTGCCGGGGTTGCGCTGGATCCAAGGGTTTACCCACACACTTCTTCTTCTTCTTCTAGCTTAATTCTTTCCTTCTCTGTTCTTATTCTTCTCCCAAGCGTTCATGTTCTGCCACATGACTAATCCGTCTTTCGAGGGCATCCAGATGCTGGAGTATTGTACCTTTTTGCCGAGGGTCCTACCAACTCATGATCTTCTTCTGCATTTGTTTTTACCATGCACAGTCGACTGTAATTCCAACAGCAGTAATGTGTGCTGGACAGCGGCAGAAGTGGAATGAGAGGCAGAAAACTAGGTTTTTAAAGCGCCAATGGCTACACTCGCGGCTCCTAAGAGCGTCTATAGCATTTTTACACGGCGCTTTCCCAACAGAAAGCGAACCTACGCCAGGCCTACGTAAACGTACGCAACCCTACGCCCGCCATACGCAGGCGTATGCGTATATACGCCAATTGCATACGCCGTAGGTACGCAATGCCTACGCACGGGGTACGTAACCATACGTCATCGTTCGCCAGCCTACGCATAACCTACGCAGGGACTACGCCGAAGTATTATTTTTTTCATGAATACGCAGCCTAATGTCGGCGTACTATGTACGCCACGCTATGCCTCTACGCAGATCCGGTGTAAAAATTGCTTTAACGATGTAAAATCTGTAATCGAAGGGCGTGTTCACATCGCAGTGAGATAGCGCGGTCTATCGTAGCACCCCCTTTTTTGAGAGGTCCTGCTGCCATGACGCGTGACGTCATTAAGTCAGAGCGGTCAAAGATTTCGCGCGCTATTACGAACTAGGAGTGTTGACCGCTCTGACCTCATGACGTCAAGCGTCATGGCAACAGGACCTCTCAAAAAAGGGGGTGCTACGATAGACCGCGCTATCTCACTGCGGTGTGAACACGCCCTATGACCCGAGTTCCTTCCGCTCCGGCGTCTATGAGGCTGTTCACACCGGCAGAAATAGCTTGCGCTAGACCGCGCTATCTCTGCTGTTTGGAAGGTACAACGTCGTTTCGGTCCGCCCAACAGCGAGCCACGGCGAACCAAAACGGCGTGCCCCTGGAGCACCTCTTAGGGGTGGTCCACGAGAGATAGCGCAGTCTAGCACGCGCTAGAAAAAAGGGGGTGCTACGATAGACCGCGATCTCATTGCGGTGTGAACAGCCTCCATATCGTCATCTATTTTACACACGTAATAATCGCCCTTGCTGTGGAGACGAGCATGCAGTTTGTGTGTGTGCACGCTCCAGTGTGTTTGTGATTTGGCCGAATGCAGCCAGCAGGCTTTGAGCTCTAAAATCTCAGTTATTTGTTTAAGAATGTTTACACTACCTTTGCACATGTTTGATTTGATCTGTAATTTTTTTCTTCTGGATGTATAATTTGATATCAAGAGCACTGTGGAGAGGCATTGCCTGTGTTCATTTTCCGTACGTAAAAGTCACTGAATTATTTGTGTATGATCTGTATACTATCTGGCAGGCGAATAGTTGATTATAGGAGGGCAAGATTATAGGTCGTGAATTATGTACGCCATGCAACGAATTGTCGACCACCTCATAATTATTCATGCTCCTTTATTGAATACACATGATTAATTTTTAATGTTGATCAGGAACCTACGGACCTTCAATTGTGATTTAAGATGTGGGTTAGGGTTGCGTTTAGGATTTAAGGTTAAGGTTAGCATTAGGTTCTTATCGATTTGCCGTCATTCTAAAGTCACGCATCAATATCATGTTGAAACAGTTCCGGTATTCTCTTTTTTTTCTTTCCTTTCATCTCTCTATTATCATCATGGTGAACAAATAAAAGCAAAGTGAAGATAAACAGAATCCTTGTTCAACGGGCATCAATTTTCTCAACGCTAGTAATAATAATTATAATAATAATAATAATAATAATAATAATAATAATAATAATTATACTTCTTCTTCACCCAAGAAAGCCTCATCAGTATTAATCCTGTTCTCGCGCCCTGGGGGCCCTGCAATCATCATTACCCCGGCTTTAGCTGAGCTGCCATGAGAAGGCGCTCAAGTATTAAATATTTGTTTTCCTACCGGGTACCAATTTACTTCAGCTACGTGGAGACTATCGTATGATATTTTAACAACATCATGACATATATTATTCTAAAGCTCGAAAGTGGTTCTTTACTCTCATTTTTATGTCACATGCCAGAACTTCTGTGTCTTATTGTTTTAGATTCAATTTAGGGCTCAAACTGGTATATTGGAAGGCTTATCATGGAAAGCGGTAAAGCGATTAAAGTTAAATAACAATTGTTTCGGCGCTATATGCTTCCAATATGTTCATATGAACCAAATTCATGACCCCATACCAAAACTTTGGACTACCTTTAATTTCATTTTGAAGCAAAAAGACCCAGACAAAAAGCTTTGGTAAGTGACAGTTTTGGGAGTAATGATTAACTATTCACTTTAAATCTGATAAGCCTCCTTACCTCGTTAAAATACCAGGCAATACTTAATAATTCCTTTAAATCTAAAAACTGATAAGTTGAGTAATACATTACTTTAAACGCTTCGCGTTAAAAGGCCCTTTTCAATTGAAGCTTTGATTTAATTTTGAAGCTCTAAAAACGTGGTCAAAATCTCTTGAAACTAAATTGTCAATTTGTTGGTTTAGTTCAATCCCAATTCATTGATTCAACAATTGTGTTAATATGCTAAAAAAAATACGTACATTCTATTAGTTTGCTAAACTAAACTTCATAAAACTGCGTGTTACTAAATGGGTGTATCATAATCTATACTTAATTTGAAATAAGGCGTTTTCAACGCTTTAAATGTACCAGTTAAGGTCTTGTTCTGCTGTAATATGCCAAGTTTTATTTTCATATTCGAGACTCTAGTAAAAGTTTTCATTTAATTTTTCTTCTCTTTATCGCACATGATACGCATTCATTTTCCGTTTTCTTTTTTTGTGAAGACACCATAGCACGAATTTTATTGTTTTCCGGGCTAACTTCACCCGAATCCTTAAAGGTAATGCAAAGTTTTGGTATGGGGTCATGAATTTCGTTCAAATGAACATATTGGATTCATAAGCGATCTTACAATATTCAGTGATCGTTGTCGCGGTTGAAATCGAGTCTAAAGTTATGACATGGTAAATAATAAACTCTTTATGTTGTATAGCTCCCTCTCAAGGTCAAGATATTAATTAAGCTATAAAACGATGTTTCTACAATGACTAAAATCGACCCATTAGCTATTCCCGTTTGGAAATTATATATCACAATTACATATTCTGAGATTTTCATGGTCGCAGCTACCATTGTACGGTCGTAGGCGCTATTTGAAATTTATCAAAATTTACCAGGAGCACCGGTAAATGTGTATATTCAATTTTTCTCGAAAGCAGAAGCGTTTTAGGGGCTAAATTTTCTAGTGCTTATCATACATCCACAGGGGCATCCAAATATATCAAAAGTGTAAAGAATTACTATCCACCCAATTTTCAAAATTTCCCAAAACTTTGTATTACCTTTAATGGGCGCGGTTATTGGTCGTTAGAGGTACCCCACTATACGTTGCTATGTGTAGCAAGAGTGCAGTGCAGCCATAAATAGGCATCAGTACATCACATCCTCAGCGATAGTTCCGATAAGTTGGCACTGCCAGTATATAGTCTCCGGTATAGTGTATTACGATCGACACTCACCTATGACGGAAAGGAACGTTGTATGGAAAACATCTTCTGAAAATCTGAATATAACACATGTTTTCCCCACTCCTGGGTCTCCTATCACTACTATTTTGTACAGAAAATCGTACGCTCTCGCCATTTTTGTACTCTAAATGAATAGTCCTTCTTTACCACTCCACGTACGAGTCGGGCTCGGAAACGCCCTGTCTGATTTGCATAATCATAGAGTCCTGATGACGTCATCAAATATAAGGTACTTTAGGGTGAGCACCAGTGTCAAACACACAATGTGCCCTGCTCCAGCCCGTTGCTTGAATAAATTCGCGGTGAATCTCTCGTTTTGAACCAGAACCCGGGACGACGAGTGATTGACGTTAGCAGCACTCCATGGGGCTATTCCGTGTAATGTGCCCAGTATGCGATTAATGTTTGTTTTCTTCACATAAATCATCCCAAAATCGTTGAATATTAAAGTTGATATTCTAAGACAGTCCCAAATATTGAGATAATTACATCAATAGAAAGCTTTTAACCCCCAAAATAACACTAAATGGTGTCCAACTGACAAAAACAAGTTTAAAATGGTGAATTTATGCGAGTAAACTCTACCAAACTATCAAAGTCTGAAACCCGGAAGTGCATGTAGAGTCGGGCCTCTACCCGTGACGTCACGAACGGGACTCATGGGCTCAGTAAGAGTGAATGGCAGTGATATCCCTACGTAAATGCTATCCTGTCAGAGCTTAGATTTGTTGTTGTTAATGAGTATATTTGATGGATTTTCTGTTTTCATTTGAATGAAGAATAACGAAGCAACATTTTCCAGTCGCTAATTTCTTTTTAGCACATCCTCAGCGATAGTTCCGATAAGTTGGCACTGCCAGTATATAGTCTCCGCCTCCGGTATAGTGTATTACGATCGACACTCACCTATGCATGAAATTAACGTTGTACTGAAAGTGTCTTCTGTATATCTGAATAAAACACTTGTTTTCCCCACTCCTGGGTCTCCTATCAATAATATTTTGTGCAGAAAATCGTACGCTCTCGCCATTTTTGTACTCTAAATGAATAGTCCTACTTTACCACTCCACGTACGAGTCGGGCTCGGAAACACCCTGTCTGATTTGCATAATCATAGACTCCTGATGACGTCATCAAATATAAGGTACTTCAGGGTGCACTTTGCGCACAGTGATTGTTGGATTGTTTCGGCGATTTTCGAGTTTGTTGTTAAGGTAATTAGCGTGGAAATGACAATTTAGACGTATTTTCTCTACTTATAAGATATGGTAGAGGCCTAAACAATCATTCATTTTCCTAAAAAAGTTACTCAACGTTTACTTATTTGATGCTAAAGTTATCGCAAATAAAGTTGAGCCTAAAACAATCAGGGTGACGACAAAGTATGATTTTGTTCATAGATATGTGAAGAGTATTTGTCGACAATAAAATGTTGCAGACATTTTTAAAAATAACAATGACGTATTTTTAGTTATAGTGCAAATGTTTTACACAATTTTTGACCCCCCCCCCCCCCCAAGCATTTTACAGAGTGTGAATGACAAAAAATGGAAAACAAGATTCAACGACAAAATCAGTTAGCCAATCATGTGTTCTTTAATTTGACAATTTGATCATTAAGTTCCGGGTGTGGAAAGCAACATTTTTTCCTGATTCATGTAACACTTGCCCCCATTCAAGTACCTTAGGTCTAGTATATAATCACTCAAGGTTAATTGGTTGAATTAATGGTCTCCGTGTATTGAAAGCATTCACATAATGGAAGTACTGATTGACCACTCATCCAAAACTTGTGCAAATATTTTGACTCAACTTTACCATATCATAACAATATTTAATTAATGCCACTAAGTCTTTATCTTTAAGAAACAGGGCTTGAATATGAGTTTCCTATCAACTGACCATCAGGCACGTAGCCACGGGGGGCGCGTGCCCCCCCCCCCCCCCGAAAAAAAAAATCTAAGATCGGTTGAACTTTTTTAGACCCCTCCCCAGGACGTCGATCAATTACATGTATGTGTCACCCCCCCCCCCCCCCTCCCCCCCTCAGGCGCGGATCCAGGATTTCTTAGGGGTGGGGGCCCAAATTTGAAATAAATTTGAAATTTAGTGTGCTGAAATATAAAAATCGTGCCGGCCAATATTTCGCTCAGTGGGGAGGAGGGGGGGGGGGGGGGGATAGTGAGCACTCATTTTTTTTTTGCTCCTATAAATTCGCTCAGTGTGGGGGGGGGGGCGTGGGGTAAGAGGACAATTTTTTCTTTTTTTTTTGGTCTCGAAATTTGTAAATTTGACATTTTGCTCCGTTGGGGGGGGGGGGTAAGGTCACCTTTTTAGGTGAGCACTCATTTTTTTTTTTTTTTTTTTTTGCTCCCAAAAATTCGCTCAGTGTGGGGGGTGGGGTGGGTTTTGGAGGGAGGGGGGGTAAGAGTACACTTTTAGGTCAGCCATTGTCATAATTTTTTTTTCTTTTGATTAAAAAACAAACAAAAACAAATAACAAAGGGGGAGGGGGGTTTGCTCAAAAATATAAACATAAAAAAAACTGAAAGGGGGGTTTACCCCCCCCCCCCCCCCTCCACCTGCGTACGCGCCTGAACACCAGTGTCAAACACAGAATGTGCCCTGCTCCAGCCCGTTGCTTGAATAAATTCGATATAGATCATCCCCCCCCCCCTGATGAATAGGTAGGTATCAGTTACAGATCGACACCCATGGTGACGACATGCATATTCAACATTACATTCGTATCAAAGAGACACACAACATATGACTATCAACTCATATTGGCCCGAATTCACAAAGCAAGGTTTGAGCTCAGACCAAGGTTTGAGTTCAAACCTCCTTTTGTTTCGCCAAACCTCCATTTGTTCTTTACAAACCAGGTTTGTAAAAAACGCGTAAAACGCGTCATATGACGTACGAAAACCAAGGTTTGTCGACAAACCTCCTTTGTGAATTCGGGCCAAAATGTTGCGTATTAAATGCTCTATGCAAAGGGCGGGATTACCCAGAGTAAAGCGTCTTGCTATAGGATGTGCTTTGTAGTAGCTGCACAAGCCAGAGAGATGCACGGGGCTTCCCGTCGACGTCCAAACTTGGAGACCTATTTCCATCATGATTGCCGCGATATTTATATAGTTTTCGTGAATGGAGGTATGAAATCAAAGCTTATTTTGTGATTATTACGGCCATGTTTACTGAATTTGATTACCATTTTCTAAAGGAAAGTTTTCACAAGAAAATCATTGGACTGACAGTTCAGTCGCAAGCTCCCTTCAGTCAACACACATACAGTACACACAGTGCTGCTGCGCTGTGTCGGCCGCGTCGGGACTTTGGCTGAGTGAGGTAGAGTCGAAGAGTATGGGGGGGCCAAGCTGGCCAATATTCGTACAACTATACAACTACACATACGTCTATCCATCCATCGAAGAACCCGTCGACACAACAGCGTGCGGGACGAAGTGCCATAATTTTGTACACCTATACAGTTATAAAAACTATACGACTCTACTACGTCTACTCAGCCATCGGAGACTAATATTGTCTTATATCGATCTACATTAAATTACAAGAAAATTTAAACAAGGTTATGAATTGTACATTATACATATTAATAGTTCAATATCAACCAGACAGAAGTATGTGCACTTCATGCATTGCAAAACAGTCAGTTGCGTAATGAGTAAAATCTTTTTTTTTTTTTTTTGGGGGGGGGGGGGGGGGGGGGAGTGCTGACAAAAATCTGCATCACCATGCACCATTCTTACATGTTACATGCAGACTCCAAGAAACGTTTTTTAAGTGTGTGGGGGATCAGTTAGATCGCAGCGAGTTGAGTGTTTATAGGCGTGGGTCCACGGGTTTCAAGGGGCCGTAACCCCCGAAAGCTCATGGGGTTTAGGCATTAAATTAGGGTTAGATCGCAGCGAGCTGAGTGTTTATAGGCGTGGGTCCACGGGTTTTAAAACCCCCGAAAGCTCATGGGTTTTAGGCATCATCAGATGAGCATATTTTTAATACTTTATTTGTGACACTGGCAGGTCACTAATTGGCGTGGGGTCCATACGTAGATTTGCGTAGTGTTGCGTACCAACTATGCTGGCCTACGTTACTACATGCTGATGGACGCAAACAATTCAACATGTTCAATTTTTTCCGCGTACTTTCGGCGTAGAAACTTGACGCAGAAAGTACGCCTTTTCACGCAACACTACGCTACTGTACGCCATGCCTACGCAACAGTACGCTACCCTACGCCAAATCGACAAAGCAGTAGAAGCTTTCCACACTGTAAGCAACCGTAAGCAACAATAAGCAAACCTATACGCCACACTATGGAACTCTACGCAGTTCCAGTGTGAAAGAGGCTTAAAGAATAACTACCGGTAATAATAATAATAATTATATTTGCTTATATAGCGCCTAACACTTACTTTATCAGAAGTCTCTAAGCGCTCTACAATAATGCAGCATAATTACCCTGGCTTTAGCAGTGCAGATGTTACGCTGTAGAGTTGGATCTTTTTTTTTTTAATAAATGGCAAATAAAGTTCTAGGTGGTTTTAGTCTCTATATATCTATTTACACCCCCGCCCCCTCTAGAATCCCGCGGATTTCCGCGGGTCGTGCTAGTAAATATATCATCGTTAAATATTAAAGTTGATATTCTAAGACAGTCCCAATTATTGAGATAATTACATCAATAGAAAGCTTTTAACCCCCAGAATAACACTAAATGGTGTCCAACTGACAAAAACAAGTTTAAAATGGTGAATTTATGTGAGTAAACTCTACCAAACTATCAAAGTCTGAAACCCGGAAGTGCATGTAGAGGTGGGCCTCTATCCGCGACGTCACAAACGGGACTCGTGAGCTCAGTGAGAGTGAATGGCAGTGATATCCCTACGTAAATGCTATCCTGTCAGAGCTTAGATTTGTTGTTGTTAATGAGTATATGTTTGATGGATTTTCTGTTTTCATTTGAATGAAGAATAACGAAGCAACATTTTCCAGTCGCTGATTTCTTTTTATATCGTCATATTCACCTATTTAGACGAGTTTACTGCTTGGGAAACAAGGTTAAATCATGCACGTATGAATAGGCGGAAGATGCATTATCTTGTCATCAGTTAAGGTACAGGAGCAGTTTTGTAAAACGAATAGGCCTAGAACTATGATAGTACTTATCATAGTGGCGGATCCAGGGGGGCCCGGGCCCCCTCCCCCCCCCCCCCCCCTAAGAAAAAAAAATCATGTAAAAAACACGTGATTTTTACCTTTTGGGGGGGTTGGGCCCACCCCCCCCCCCTGGCGCTCAAGGGAGGGGGGTTGCAAATTTTCAAATTTTCGAGGACCAAAAAAAACAAAAACATGTGCTAACTACCCCCCCCCCCCCCTCCCCCCACCCCCACTGAGCGACTTTTTTTCGCCCGGCGCGATTTTCAAATTTTCGGGAGCAAAAAAAAAAAAGTTGGGCCCCCTCCCTTAAGAAATCCTGGATCCGCGCCTGACTTATCATAGATGTGTGTGACTGCCTCAAACAAGAATACAGTACCAGTTAAAAAAAATTATGATGTAAAATATCAAACTTGAACGAGATCATGCAAGCACGCTTCCTAGTTATAAGTAAAATATTTTGACAACGTCTAGTGATCGAACGATATTCATACGCGAGTGATGCGGCTCTTGCACGAACGTTTCGTGATGCGAGCAGAATCAGGAGGTAAGCCAGGCCGCTGCTCTAGGCGCGGCTTGCTTGTGATATGGAACGTACGTGCGCTAGTTAAATGTTTATCGGCAATTGCAAGACAATGAAATTAAAGGTAAAGACCAGTTATGGTCATGCGATTGCATTGTGAAAGGTTCTGAAATCATCAAAATGATGAAGAAATTTGGCCCATTCTTCATAAAGTTACAAGCACTATACACAGAAAGATGTATATGGGACTACCCTATATCTCTCACAGACCATGAGAGAAACATGCAAATTTACCAAATATATGAATTACTAGGCGGTTTCCCGGCAAATTATTTATCATCATGTATTAGTCAAAACATATTCTTTCACATGATCGCGGTAATGAGAGCTTCCTTTAAT